GGTGGCGAACGGGGCATTCGGTTGCCCGACACCCCCCCCCGCCCCGAACCCGGACGGGAAGAGAGAGGGTCCAATTCGCTTACCTTCCTCTCTCCGCCACCAAAGCTCTCCTCGGCGACCAGAGCGCCCACTCGGGCTCAGCCTCCTGCATCACTTCCGGGGGGTGGGGCCTTCGCGGAGAGAGGGGGGGAGTCAGCTGGCGGCGCGGTGACGTAGGACGCGCTCCTACGCGCGCGCGCGCACTCGCTTGACGCCGCACGCAGCGTAAGGGCACTTTGAGGCTTTGGGGGCTCTTCTTTTTCTCTTTTCCCCCCCTCTCCCCTCGTTTTCGTCGTCTGCGGAGGTGAGTGAGGAAGAATATTTATGTTGGGGAGAGCGGGGGGAGAACTGTACCCTCCGGGTCCAAATGTGTGTGTGTGTGTTGAGAACAAAAGTGCTAGTTCTGCAGGTGAATCCCAAAAGGTGAATGGGGACGAGCGAGGAGCGTCTGTCCCAAAGACGAAGAGAACATCCCGAAAACAGGAGGCACGGCAGAGGTGACACCCCCCCTCCGCTTTTATATTGGTATCGCCCACACGTCTCTTTAAGTTGGACAGAGCAGCAGCAGCGCGTGCGTTTATTTTTGCCCTCTCCGATAGGGGGCGCTACAGGGTGGCAAGATGGCGTCATTCTTGTCAATGAAACCTGCACCAAACTAGGACTCATTTGTGTGTCCCTGCTGGAAGCATTCATGAGTTTCCTTAGCAACAAGATTTTATTTGAATTTATTTTAGGTAGGTAGGTAGGTAGATGGTAATGATGGATGGATGGATGGATGGATGGATTTAGGTAGGTAGATTAGATAGATAGATAGATAGATAGATAGATGATAGATAGATAGATAGATAGATAGATAGATAGATAGATAGATAGATAGATAGATAGATAGATAGACAGACAGACAGACAGACAGACAGACAGACAGACAGAGATAGGTGATAGATAGATAGACAGACAGACAGACAGAGATAGGTGATAGATAGATAGATAGATAGATAGATAGATAGATAGATAGATAGATAGATAGATAGATAGGCTGCTTACCCTGGAGGAGGAGTGTTAGAGTTGGGGCCTCAATGCAGGGGTGGGGCCTGAAGACTAAGGAGTGGGGCTAGACTGCTGAAGGTTGAATCCCTGGTAGAAGCCTTTAAACAGGTTTTATTTCGTCATAAAAGAAAACAGATACAGGTTATATATAAAATGAAGTTTGTATATTCTCCTCTGACCCACCCAAATAGTGACAACTATCATTGTAGAAAGAGACCTGAATTCATCACGTATGGTACAATTAAGTGAATTATTATAAAAGCCAGTTCTTTCTTTTGGAAAAAAAAAACCTGCCCTTTAGATAGTATTTTTCAAAAACTCACTGATGTCCTTTATTTGGGACATCTAATTTCTCCCCTTGGTACTGTTTAATGCGCAGTCTTTCGCACTTGTAGGGAAAAAAACAGACATTGTCTTTTTAAAATAAGTGTACATATCTTTGTTCAAATACACATTTTGTTTAATTTTCCTTTGTAAAACAATGTTTTTGTATGCTTACGAAACTGCTTCAGATTTTCCCCTTTTCCAAGTTTGTTCTTTTATTTTTTTTTCCCCAAGAAAATACAGCCATTGTATCTAGAGGAACCAAAACTGCAGAGTATGAGATTCTACAAGCATATAATAAAGTTTATTAATCTTCCAAGCTGGTACCAGATGTTGATTGGCTGCAGCCAGTCATTCATAGACAGACACCGTGTTAATCAATGCCTTAATGAAATTATACAAAAGCAGCAATTTAGAACCCAGGAGTTTGAAAGGCATTGCATTCAATTCACGCAAGAGTCCATCCACGTGGTCTAGACTTTGAAGAAACAACCCACGTTCAAAGAACTGTATTACTTGCTGTGGTTTTCTGGCTGCAGCCCACAAACCACCAATAGTTGTATAGTTAGTTCTTCAGTGGGCTCAGTTGCCCTCAATCAAAGTCGTAGGTAGCAGGGAGGAACAGCGCATGAAATCACCAAACATGAACTCCTTGAGGGTGGGGGGAAACTGGAGACATATTGCTCGGTTTTACTCATCTTTTTTTTATTTGGCTACAGTATAACTCCATCAGCACATCATGAATTTTATTGCTGGAGGCGGTCACAAATTCAGTGGGGGTTTTTTAGTATGCCATATGGGGCATTGGATATAAACTGTTTCATTTCTTTAAGAGAAACCCAGTCCAAATATCTCACCTACAGTAACTTGGAACTGCTCTGGGGATTTTCCCCACTCCAAAAAAAAAAAATTAAAAAAATTTATTATTTGTGTAAAGAAGATTTCCTCTAAAGCTGGAATGGAAGCCAAAAGATGAATAAGAAATGTGTGTGGGGGTTTTTTATGTTGAGTGATGTGTTCTGGGAACACCTCTTTGCCTTGACAGACGAGGGCAATTTGGTTGGCTCAAAGAGGAAACTAAGAAGTTTCAAGAAAGATTTTTACGGTCCTGAAACTGGGGGGAATCAATTTAAGCTGATGGGGGAAGAGCAGCAGGGGGGGGGGGGGGGGGCTCCAACCTTTTGGGTCCCAGGGACCGGTTCCATGGAGAAAGGTTTTTTCCACGGACCGGAGGGGCTGTGGTTTTGCATGCTGCCTGCATCCCGCAAATGGGGCTTCGCTTGTTTGTGTGGCCCAGTTGCTGGCATGCCACAGACCAGTATCGGTCCACCGACCAGGAGTTGGGGATTCCTGGACTAGAGCAGCATTTCTCAAATTCGGCCAGTTTACAACGTGCGGACTTCCAACTCCCAGAAATCCCCAGACAGTGCTTGTCCACACATCGTAAAGTCGGCCAAGTTGAGAAACACTGGATTTACAGTCTGTGGAGATTCTCCGTCCTCCAGCTCATGGTTGTCCCAAAGGTGCCTTTTTTTTTTTTTTTCCAAGAGACAACTGGACTTTCTGGTTTTTCTTTTGAAGACGTTTCACTTCTCCTCCAAGAAGCTTCTTCAGTTCTGACTGGGTGGCAGGGAATCAATTCAGAGCTGAAGAAGCTTCTTGGCGGAGAAGTGAAATGCCTACAAAGAAAAACCAGAAAGGCCAAATTGCTTCTTGAAAAAAAGCACCTTTGGGACTGGATTTACAGCATTAACCTATTACGAACTTTTTCTTGGGAGAAAAAATATATATATTGTCTTGTGGCATCAAGGAAGAAGAATAAACCCTGGTGGTTTTTGAAAACGCGCATCTGAGAAAAAAGCAGCAATGAACTTTTTTTTGCCACGGTTGTTAAGCGAATCTGTGCGGTTGTTAACGCAAATCCAGCTTCCCCATTGGTTTTGTTTGTCAAGCCCTCTGTGAAGATTGCAGATGGCAATCCCATGACCCTGGGAAATTGCAACCATCGTATAAATACCTGCCAGTTGCGAAGAATCCAAATTTTGATCATGTGAGCATGTGGATGGTACGATGGTCATAAGTGTAAGGACCAGTTGTAAGTTACTTTTTCAGCATTGTTGCCATTTGGAACCATCATTAAATCAATGGTTGTAATGGGAGTTGGAAGTCCTCACGTTGTAATCTCCTCTTGCTCCCTGTGCTAATATACCAGTTTACCCATTCTCCAAGACAAAAAAAAGTCAGAATTTTCCTTCCAGAGTGAAGTTAGCTTTTCAAGTTTCTCACTCATCAATGTCATAGGAACTTTTTTTTTTTAATAAAAAATTTTATTTCAGTTTTCCACATTTTAAAAACATCTTTTTTTAGTGAACAACATGGTTCCAGGTTTTCACATTTCCATACAAACATGGCTTTGATTACATATTCATCTTTCACATTTAGTTTCATATCATTATTTTACATATTTTCTATTAATTTTCTCAATACTTTGAGAAAATACTCAAGCTTATTTTATAAATTTTCAATTCATATCTTAACCTATTTCTTTTAACTTTAAATAATTCTCATATCTTCATATTTGTTGTGCTTTATACTTTTCCGTCAGGTTTGTAATCTCAATGCATATTCTTATTTCATTATTTCAAAAATTCCATCTCAATTCAAACATTTCAAAAACGTTTCCCCCACAATTACCCGAGTGTCCCACCCCTATACCTTATATATCATTTAATTAGTTCACCTTTAGGTCCCAATAATCATTTTAACTTTTTAATTATCACCTTAAAAGTTAATAACAATAATCTTATACATAGGAACTTATGTATACCCTTACTGGCCCTGCAGTGGCTCTCAAATCACTTTTGAGGGATGAATCTGGCCAAATGAGATTTCTTTTCTGCAGCTAAATGCACCATCCCATTAAAAAAAGCACACACATACACACATACAACCATTTGTCACCTTTCCCAGCTGCAGAACAATTGGGGGGTCATTACTTCAGCTAAACGTTATAATTTAGTTCTGAAGACAACAAAATGGGTTGCATTTTCAAACTGAGCAGACATGAAGATTGGGCACCTGGTTTATTCCTCTGCCACCCTGACAATATAATTCTTCTGGGCAGGATTGAGGAGGGATAAAGAGGCAGCTATCAAGATATCCTTGGTGGTAGGGATTTTTTTCCCCTAAAGCGGCTTGCTCTCTTTGTTAAACCCAGCTGAGATGGCTCCTATGACTTTTAAGATGCTTTTTTGCAGGAGAACTGGTACAATAAATGTTATTTTTTCCTTATTAGGATTTCTGGGGGAACTGAATTTGAAATTCATCAGTTGTTAAAAGACGAAAACGCCAATGCTGGTTGGTTTTTAACAGTTTAAACTATAATGTGCTTTATTGGCCTTAGCTTAATAAATTATTACACTTATAAATATGATTATAAATATGATAGAAAGACAGAAAGACAGGCAGACTGACCTGTCTGATACATAGATATAGAAAGAGAGAAAAATGAGAGAGAGAAAGAGAGAGAGAGAAGTAACAGGAGGTAGAGAGAAAGAGAGAGAGGTAACAGGAGTGTGAGAGAGAGGTAACAAGGTAAAGAGAAGAGAGGTAGAGAGAGGAGAGAGAGGTAACAGGAGGTAGAGAGAAAGAGAGAGAGGAGAGAGAGAGATAACGAGGTAGAGAGAGAGAGAGTGAGTTAGATGATAGAGAAGGACAGACACACAGATCGATCCATCTTCTGTGTCCTGAGCCAAATGCAATTTATTTACTAAAAAAGTGTTAAAATATGATTTAGCACATGACCCGGCGAAACTTTTGCCAATCGTTCCCTAACGGGCCATCAATAATTTCTCTTGAGAACACTAAGAAAGAGAGCATTGTGCTCCTCTGCTGCAGAAGTGAAATCATGAACAATGAAACCACAATATTTCGTTTCACAAGAATGCTTTGCCGTGGCAAGCTCAGCGGTCCTGCACAACAGACGATGCTTTTGTTCGCCGAGAAAAAAGATAGATTTTTATCCAGCATTTTTTGAGTGAGGCTTGCTTTCTGCCTGCGTCTATGCTAGCTTGGACCCGTCATGCCTTGGGTGCAAGCAGAAAGCATGTTTTAAGCATTGGCCTCTAACAAGGTGGTCTCCTCCACAGTTTTCACCATCAATTCTCACAATCGCTCCGAGGGAGGACAGAAGCTGATAAGAGGTACTCCTCGACTTATGACCACAACTGAGCCCGAAATTTCCCTTGCTGAGCAAGACAGTTGTTAAGTGAATTTTGAAGCATCCCCATGAATTTGGACACTTGGCATCTGCCTCGTATTTATGACAATCCCCATTTGCGACCTTCTGACAAGCAAAGTCCATGAGGAAGCCAGATTCCCTTAACAACTGGGTAACTAACTTAACAAGTGCAGTGATTCACTTAACAATTGTGGCAAGAAAGGTTATAGAATGATGCAAAACTCACTTAAAATGGACACCTAACATCAAAAATGTCATCAAAAAAGCACAACAAAGAATGTTCTTTCTGCGCCAACTCAGAAAGCTCAAACTGCCCAAGGAGCTGCTGATCCAGTTCTACAGAGGAATTGTTGAGTCTGTCATCTGCACCTCTATAACTGTCTGGTTTGGTTCTGCAACCCAACAGGACAGACACAGACTTCGGAGGATAATTAGGACTGCAGAAAAAACGATTACTACCAACCTGCCTTCCATCGAGGACCTGTATACTGCACGAGCCAAAAAGAGGGCTGTGAAAATATCTACAGACCCCTCACATTCCAGACATAAACTGTTTCAACTCCTACCCTTAAAACGACGCTATAGAGCCCTGCGCACCGGAACAACTAGACACAAGGACAGGTTTTTCCCCGAATGCCATCACTCTGCTAAACAAATAATTCTCTCAATACTGTCCAACTATTTACAAAGTCTGCACTACTATTACTATTAATCTTCTCATCACTCCTTATCGCCCATCCCCTCCCACTTGGGACTGTAGGACTGTAACTTTGTTGCTTGTATCCTAACGATTTTTAATGACTGTTTCCTAGTATGATTAGATTGCTTATTGCACTCTATGGCTATCACTAAGTGTTGTACCTTATGATTCTTGATGAATGTATTTTATTTTTTCTTTATGTACACTGAGAGCATTTGCACCGAAGACAAATTCCTTGTGTGTCCAATCACACTTGGCCAATAAAGATTTCTATTCTATTCTATTCTATTCTATTCTATTCTATTCTATTCTATTCTATTCTATTCACGTCTTGCTTAGCCACAGAAATTTCGGGCTCAATTGTGATCATTAAATCGAGGACTACCTGTTTTGAAGTTTGCACTGATACATAGATCAACCAAATTTAATTCTGTGTAAATCACTGTCCTCAACTCTGTGATGATAATTGGGTTTCCCCCCCCCTTTTTATTGTTCCCCTTCTCAACATCCTGCTTTCGATGCTTGTGGCATAATTATCTTTAAGGAAGGAGACTGGGCATATTTTCACATATGCTGGTATCAGCTGGATATTTTCTTGCCTTAAATTTAGCGCATGTAAAAGTAGCTATTATCCCACACTTGGCAGATAATTATAGTTTTCAGGGAGGGGG